TCATCAACCATTGCCTAAACCATAATTTCACATCACTTTTCCTTCTAAACACCGATGGTTCGAATTCTTCAATGAATCACATACCAAGGTTTTCAATTCATTTCAACACTTCTACACATCATATCATCCTACAATTAATTCATACCAACAACCAACCATTAATTCCCAACCATCACATTCATGATTACAACCAACAGTTTCATCATTTTCCACCAAATTTTCACTAAGTTACAAAATTATACATCACCATTTAACACTACACAACATCCATTACACAATTTCACAATACTAAAACCAATCAAATTTCACAAATTCATGGCATCATCAAAAATTTCCATCAAGTTATCATAACTTTTCATCAATAATTTTTATTGCATTTATAGCTCTAACACTTCATTCTAAGACATATTTATCTAATACACATTTTCCACTTGAGCTCTCTAACTACATCAATCACACAAAATGCCTCTAGGGCTCATGAATTAAATCAACAAATCCAACCAATAAAATGGGAAGAAACTTACCCAATATCAAGGCCTAAGACTCCTCCACATCATACTAAACCATTGGAGCTCCAAACAATTCCATGAACACAAATCTACACCAAAGGGCCGCGGGTTTGGGGGGGATTTTCTCAAAATCTAGTAGGTTTCAAGAGTCAAGACTACCACCAATGTGTTTGGGAGGTGATTTCCAACAAATTTTAAGTCAAACTTTACTTGATTTGGTACTTGGATGATTAAGTTAGGAGAGAAAGAAAGCTGGGAAGATTTTTGGCCATGGAAGGGGCTAGGCGCGGGTTTGGAGAGAGAAAGGGAGAGGGAAGATGAACATGAATAGCAATTGACCATGTGGCTTAAGTGATTTAAGTTGGGTGGGTCTCACCGCCACCTCACGCGATTTCAAACTAATTTAAAACTCCCGCTTAATCCACTACACGTCCGTAAATTCATAACCTATTTAGAAACTCTAATTTTTAACATTAACCATTGTCCTTTAATTATCCTTGATCAGATGAATCCAGAGTTTTCCGATCGTTCGGAGAAACTGCAGTTTTAAGCTGTTACGCGCGCGTAGGCACGTTTCCTCAAACTTACTAATTTCTGTCAATTTTCATCAGAAATCATATTTCCTAGTCATATACACCATTTATAACTTGTATTCAAACCTAGAGCTCAAAACTCAATTAGCACGTTTTACGGTGCAATCATATCGCGATATTTTTACCCGGTAAAAACATTATTCATCAATTTTTCTGAAACTTGCCTATCCATTCAATTTTTCGTTCTGAATCCATTTCCAGGGTTATTTTTATCATTTGAGATCTCCTACTCAATTTTACCTTCCTAGGGTTGCGTGTTTGGCTAATTACCGTTTTACCCTTCCTTTGTATTTTGACCTGATTTTTCAGGATTTTCACTAATTCTTCCCTTTAATCCTCATTTAATATATTAATATATGATTTAGAAATACGAGGTGTTATAGTTTTCAAATTCTCTCGTATCTCCATATCATCCGATATCACCACTACTCATCCGAAACATACTTTCACGGCTGAGAGTTTACTCCGATTGATCATTTCATCCTCACTAGTCAAGTTATCTTATATGCAGAACACACAATTTATTTTTAGAAAGTGCACTTACTAATTAACCTTTGGTACCATCAATATTCAAATTCATTTTTCATTGAAAAATGTGAATTCAAAATTCAAATGAATAGGCATTGTATAATAGTATAAATCAATCACCATAATCATTACGATTCAAAATATTGTCATCAGTTATCATTCTTTTTCAAAATAATAAGCCCCAATTTAATATATGTTTTCCCACAAAACAAAGGCCATACCATGGACAATTAATAAGATGTCTTTCACGAAAGCTTCCAAAAAGTTTATATATATATATATATATATATATATATATATATATATATATATATTTATATATATATAGGCTTTAATATTTCTACACTGAATGTACATTTACTCCCAAAATGACATTATTTTGAGTTAAAAAAAAAAAGACTATTATAAGCCTGAAATAAATTATAATTACAAAAATATCTTGATTTCCTCCCAAAACTAGGGGTGTGCATGGAGCGGTTCATAACCGGTTTTAACAAAAACCGAACTGAACCGGTTTTAAATAGTTGGGTTTTCAAATGGAACCGATTTTTTTCTTTTAAAACCGATTTTTAATTTTTTAAACCAATTTTAAATCAAAACCGGTTATGAACCATAAACCGGTTATGAAGTTCAAAACTGATTTTTTAACAAATTCAAAATTGGTTTTTGATGAATTTTGCTATTTTTATAAGTAGTCGTTTGTTTATTTCAGTTATAGGTAGTTGACCAACTATTTCTTGCAAAAATCTTCATTGTTTTGGAACTCTCCGGACGAAATGATTCTTATAGAAATTGGTTCGCGTTGTTTTGAGAGTGATTGGTAGAAGAACAATTTAATTATTTTAAAATTATAAAAAAAAATTGCTCTTCGTTCTCTCAAGATTTATGTTACTAAGAGTTTCATTTGAATTGATGGATGAGGATATAGGTAGGGGTGTTCAAAATGTCCAAAAGAATTAAACCAATCCATAACCAAACTGCTCCACATTTTAAAAATCGGTTATTTTTAAAAATTGATTTCGTATGAAACTGTATTTTATTTTTAAACTGGTTATTTACCAAACCATAAAAATAATTAGTTATCCACAATCAAACTTCTCTACAATTAAAGAATAAATAAGTAAAACCGTTGTGAGTTGTCCTTTTAACGGCGCTGATTCATCATCTTTTTTTTTTGTGGAGGTTTCTGATTCATCATCTTAAACATCTCAGAGACGTTAAGCCAATTGATTAATTTTGTTGCCTTTTTCATTATGATTTTTTAACTTCATCTTTGTCATTTCAAAGCCTTCGCCTTGTCAAGCTGCGAGTTTACTTGGAGGCCTGTAAATGGTTATTTATTTTTTTTTGGAAAAAAAAAGTTGTTACACTACATAAGAAGTGCTTTCTTAGGATGCGACATTTCAATTTATGTGTAATTTTTTTTTAAATAAATATTTTTCTATTTGAGCTGCTTAACTTTTTCTGCTAGTTTATTGTTTGGAAGTTTGAGTCAATTGACTAATACAATAGGCATGATAAAAGATAATACTTATTTGTTCTTTAATTGTAAAGCAGTTTGATTATGGATAACCATGGATAACCAATTATTTTTATGGTTTGGTAAATAACTAGTTTATAAAATAAAATGCAGTTTCATATGAAACCGATTTTTAAAAATAACCGATTTTTAAAATGTAGAGTAGTTTGGTTATGGATTGGTTTGGTTCTTTTGGACATTTTGAACACCCCTACCCAAAACGACATTATTTTGGGCTCAATGTAGATAAGTTATCTACATTCACTCCCAAAACGACATCATTTTGAGTTGAAAAATAAAAAAAATTATAATAAAAAAGACTATTATAACCCGAAAATAAATTTTAATTACAAAAATATCTTGATTTCCTCTATAAAACGACATTATTTTGGGCTCAATGTAGATAAGTTATCTACATTGATTGTAGGATAGACGAATCCATATATATATATATATATATATATATATATATATATATATATATATGGTTAGGATCATTGTACACCAGTGTAAGTTACACTCTCAATCTTGATCGTGGATCCCACTTATATCTAAGGGTTGTAATTTTTTAGTAATGTGAGTCATTGGATACAAGTTGATCAATGCTCAAGATTGAGTGTAAGACTTATAACTTTTACACCGGTATAAGAATATCCTGCCCCATATATATATATATATATATATATATATATATATATATATATATATATATATACATACAGAGAGAGAGAGAGAGAGAGAGAGAGAGAGAGGTAGGATCCTTTGACACCGGTGTCAAATTTTGATTTTGACACCTCATCTGAGAGCCGTTAGATAAAAAAAAAATCAACAACTCTAATTTGCAAGCATGTGACACCATTGATCTTTTTTGGAACGACTCTCAGATGAGGTGTCAAAATTAAAATTTGACACCGGTGTCAAAGGATCCTACCTCATATATATAGGGAAAAATATTTCTACAACCACTTTAGATAATGTTGTCTCCAGCTACCCCTTTTTCACTAAGTACGACCGGTCGTACTTAGTTATAACAATAAAGCTGTACTTTTTTTTCTCTTTCCTCGGACATTGTCGGCTGACGTGGCGAAGAGAGAAAATGCAATTTTAATGTACGACCGGTCATACTTAGTGAAAAAGGGTAGCTACAGACAACCTTATCTAAAGTGGCTGCAGAAATGTTTTCCCGATATATATATGGGTTCGCTTTTTCTGCAGTTACTGCAGATGAATTATCTGCAGTAAGCCAATACGACGTCGTCTTGGACGGAAATCATGGTGTTTTTGGAATTTTAATTTATTTTAGAGTTATAATAATCTTTATATTTATAATTCTTTAAGATTTCAATACCAAAACGAGGTCATTTTGGGAATAAATGCAGATAACTTCTCTGCATTAACTGCGGAAACATTTTTCCCTATATATATATATATATATGTATGTATGTATGTATGTATGTATGTATGTATGTATGTATGAATGTGTATATATATATATATATATATATATATATATATAATATATATAAATAAGTTATTCTACTTATCACTTTTTTTGTCTACCATCCTCCAACACTGTTAGATTAGAATCTCAAGAAGAGAGAAAAAGATAACATTTAGTTAAGATTATGATCTAATGATATTTTAAAGTGATAGGCAAAGATAGGTAGAAAAACTGATAGGTAGAATAACTTATCTCACACACATACATATATCTTTTCTAAAAATGTCTTTCACCGCTAATCATTTATTCATTCTCGATGCAATAAAATATACAATCCACTTTTATGATGTCGATGCATTAATATACGTATATAACCATTTTATCAACGTATGCATCACGCATTTGTATCATATGGACACTTATACCAGTCAAACCATTATCAAATTTTTTTGAGAAACAACAAAAGGCCGTTGCATCGATACAATTCGAGCTTAGCATTTGAGCCAATCATTATTAAGCACATAACCTTATAATTTAAGAACTAAGACAAGGAATAAAACTCCTCCCTAAGACAATGACTGTTTTCCTTTTGAATCAATCGAAGGAGAACAGAAACATCGTAGAGAAACAAGTATTCCAAGTACCAGCTAGCACAAAGAAATGACATATCGATTGAATAAATTTTTCCTGGCCGACGCATAGATGATGGGCAAGTATGGAATATTTTGCACCTTGGTTCTCTTGCCTTCATAGCAAAATTTTGTTGGCAATGGGAAAGGAAGGAGCTACATCAACCGGCACCTAGGGTACACACAACACAACATGCCCAGACAATTAGTTTTTGAAATAATTTAAATCACAGTCTGTATGCAAGAGCATTGTCTTGGGAGACTTGAGATATGAAACATTTATCCTACGGAACACGAGTTTTGACATATATGTAAGCATATAAGTAGAATTAAGATTCGCTCAAAAGAGTTACAATTTAAACACATTATTATTCAGTGACTTGCAAAAGAGTATGTGAAGAATGAGTGTAAGAATGTTCAGCTATCATTACTCAAGGAAACATCTTTTTCTTTTAAACTTTAACATTGATTGGTGTTCTTAGAGAGACGGGTAACATGCACACACTAAGAACATTTTTTAATTGGAATCTTTGATAAAACAAATTTACGAGATTGTAAAAAGAATTTGAAAAGTAGGATTGTATTATGTGAAAATTGTATACAATTGTACGAGAGTTTTCTATTTAAAGAGAATAAATAATCTAATGGGTTAAACCCAAAGAAGATTCTAGAATACAACTCTCTATTTAAAATAAAATATTATTATTTACAATACTCCCCCTCAAGCTGAAAAATAGATATTTATCTGTAAAGAACCAATTCAACCCAAAATCTTAAGATGTTGGGTGATGCCCTTTTTAATTATATTATTCTCCAATATGTCCCCTCACACTAGAGCCCACTGGGCTTAAAGGGTGGACAATGCACAGGCCCACCTACCTATGCTAAGAAAATTCCACAAGAGAAAGTGGAGAGCGGTGAGGATCGAACCCGGGACACAAAGCTCTGATACCATGTAAAGAACCAACTCAACCCAAAACCTTAAGGTGTTGGGTGATGACTTTTTTAATGATTTATATTATTCTCTAACATTATCATTTCCATCTTACTAGTAAGTTCTTGAAATCTATCATTAGGAAGACCATTAGTCAAGACATCAGTCAATTGACGACCAAAAGGAATATATGGAGTAGTGATCAGTCCACTCTCTACTTTCTCTTTGATGAAGTGGCGGTCAATCTTAATATGTTGAATCCGATCATGTTGAACTGGATTGTAGACTATACAGATAGCTAACTTATTATCACAAAGTAACTTCATAGGTCCTTCATATCTCACCTTGAGATCATCAAGAATAATTTTTAGCCATAATAATTCACAAATATCTTGAGCCATGGCCTGAAATTCTTCCTCTGCACTTGACCTAGCAACCACATTTTGCTTTTTTACTTTTCCGTGTTACTAGATTTCCACAGAGAAACATACAATAGCCCGAAGTAGACCGTCGGTCAATCACAGATCCAACATAATCAGCGTCCGTATAAACTTCTAAGGATAGGTTTCCTCTTCTCTGGAATAATAGTCCTCTGCCTGGTGTGCCTTTTAGATATTGGAGAATCCTGTCCACTGCTTGCAGGTGTTTTTCCCTCGGATCATGCACGAATTGACTAACAATACTAACTGCATAAGCTAGATCAGGTCTAGTATGAGCTAGATTATCAATCTTCCCACCATTCGTTGATACTGTCCTTTGTCAACTGGGGGACTCTCATTTTCACTTCTTAGTTTGTGATTATGTTCAATTGGAGTACTGGAAGGTTTACACCTAAGTTTTCATGCTTCTTTAAGCATATCAAGAACATACTTTCGTTGACAAATAAAGATCCCCTACTTTGAATGAGCAACCTTTGTCCTAAGAAAATATCTCAGTCGTCCAAGATCTTTAACTTCAAATTCAGCAGTCAGTCTTTCTAGTAGAGCACATTTCTCACCTATATCGTCCCGTTATAATAATGTCATCAGACAAGGAAAATCTCTACTAAGCCTTAGAACAATATTTATTCTTGAAAAGGCCTTCACTTTCTCTCTTTCCTCTCTTAATCACTGGAAGTAGATGGTGGGAACAATTGATCACTATTATATTAGTTTCTGTGAACTTGTGAGGAAGATGGAAACGAACAGAGGAAGATGGAAACGAACGCAAGGAAATTGCTTTTGGCTTCTCCTTTTCCGAAAAGTCAGAAATTGTAGCTTTAAAAAAAGCAGAACTTTTGCTTTTTTCTTAACTTCTGCTTTTTTAAAAAGTCAGCATCCAAACATCAAAACAAATTCTAGAAGGGCAAAAAAAAAGGAGATTTTGGAAGGCAAAAAGCCCATCCAAACAACCTCTTACATGGCCAAGGACTCGAGAAGGTAAGCAATTGATCAAATAGGCTATAGTTTAATATGGCTTCTCCCAAATAAGAGCTAGGAACAGATGTCTGAAACAGTAATGCTCTGGTTACTTCAAACAAGTGATGATTTTTTCTTTCAACAACCCCGTTTTGTTGAGGGGTATCTACATATGTGAGCTCAGGAATCATACCCTTATCTGAAATGAATTGTGATAGAGGCTGGTTGACGTACTCCATACCATTATCAGATCTTAATCACTTAATACTTTTACCAAAATGTGTCTTGATCATGTGATAAAATCGAATAAACAATTCTAGTATTTCTGACTTGTCTTTCTTCAAGAATATCCATGTCACCCGAGTGCAATCATCAATTAAAGAAACAAACCACCTAGCACCTGAAATAATGTGTATTTTAGAAGGGCCCCAAACATCAAAATGGACAAGAGTAAAGGGCTCCATACTTTTTATTGAACTTTAAGGAAAGGGCACACAATGGTGTTTCGCAAGCTCACAAACATCACAATGGAAGGAGTCAATTGACTGATCCAGAAACAAAGAAGGAAAAATTGACTTCAATAGGACAAATGACGGGTGCCCCAGGCACTTGTGATGAAGCCAAATCTGTGAGAATGAAGTAGACGGGTGATGACTCATCAATAATTGATTCGTGGTATCACTTGTAGCATGCTCTGGAATGAGATAGTACAACCCACCCTACTCCTTAGCAACTCCAACCGTCCTCTTCGTGGTGAAATCCTGAATAACACATAGGTAGGAAAAAAGGTGACAACACAATTCATGTCAATGGTATGCTTATAAGTGGAGATAAGATTGGTGGAGAGCTGAAGAACATAAAGAACATTTTTTAAAAGCAAGGAAGGTTGAACTTCAATGTTACCAAAACCCACAACTGATTTATGAGATCCATCAGCTACAACTATAGTATCGTTACGACTAGTACGATGATATGAAAGAAACAGATCAGCTAGAGAAGTCATATGATCAGTTGCACCAAAATCCATTATCCACGAATTTTTTAAATCAGTGCAAGAAGCAAGAAGAGATGTAGGGTGTGTGATACCAAACATAGCCAAAGAACAAGTGTCTTTTGTGTGTCCAAACCCCTTACAATGAATGCACGAACTTCCTTTGGACGAAAAAAAGATAAGAAGGCAACACAAAAAGAGTGTGAATAATTACCACATAAGCCTTTCAACGTCCCAAATAGTAACAAATAAGTCAGATCTGATCAAAGGAGGCTTGAGAGACTGAAAAAGATCCAATTTTTATGACAAGTAGAGGTCTCTCAACATCCCAAATAACAACAAAATCAGATTTGATCAAATGAGGCGCGAGTGGCCAAAAAGATCCTATTTTTATTACGAGATCGAAGACCCACTATCGGAAAAGTGTCTGATCAAGGAGGTAAGAGCAGATCTGGAACCGGGGAGCCAAGGCGAGTCCAACCGAGGTGGTCTGAGGCCGATCGGAGTTGAAAAGGCACATGAATAGTATTGTTCCGGTAAAAAACAGTAGCGATTTGGGCTTTCTGGGGTTGTTTGGGTTGTTTTGTAACTAGGAAATGTCTGTGGATTGATAGATTTGGAAAAACGGAGTCAAACCGTGGTCTTCTCGGTCCAAAAGGTCCCCGAAAGAAATTTTCTGGTGGCGGCGAGAGGCAAACAAAAGGGTTCCTTTCTAAAGGCGACAGTTGCGGAAGCAGAGCACTCAGGATCGGGAGTTCTGACACCAACTTAAAAAAAAAAAAAAAAAAAAACTTAAAAAGTAGGATTGTATTATGTGAAAATTGTGTATTACAACTGTACAAGAGCTCTCTATTTAAAGAAACTAAATGACCTAATCGATTAAACCCAAAGAAGATTCTAGAATATAACTCTCTATTTAAAATAAAATAATATTATTATTTACAACAGTAATGGTAGAAACAAGACCATGTCTTATACGTATTTTGTAATTTCATTTTCGGATTGTTTTTCAGTTTCTCCCATATACTTCTCGTAGTCAAGATAGGCATGGCTATGATATGCTTATTATACAACAATGGTCAATTATATTTGAACTGTTAAATGGCAAATTGACATTGTTTCCGTATCTAAGTGTAGCATATAAACAAACGATCATAAGCTGGATGAAAACATATATGGACGACTTCAGCTTTAGGTACCTTACAGCTGGATATTAGACGCTAAGTGAGATGCACAAATATATTTAGGGAAAACTTCAAAAATCCTCCTGTAAGTTTTTTCATAATCACTTACCCCTTTTTCCAAAAAATTTAATCATGTACACTCTTACTTAAATTTTTTTTATCTCTTACCTCCCTAACTTGATTTTCCATTCAAGTTAAAGTTAACGGAGTTAATTTTTAAAAAAATATCAAAACTACCCTTAAAACAAAAAGAAGGAATTAACCCTTAATGCCAAAACTACCCCAAAATACTATGCAGACGAATAATCCGATCACAATAATAGAAATTAGACCGACGCATTTGCAATTGCAATAACTTGAATCTATTTGAAAGGGAAAGAGGAAATTGAAGTCATAATTAATCAGAGCCAGCTCATTTGTGGCATTAAAATTAATCTCATATCTAAACAGTCTAGACTATCGTAAAAGTCTGAAGAAATATATATATATATATATATATATATATATTAATTTGAATTTACAGTAAATCTCAATGACCAAATAGTGAACACTGAAAGTATGTCACAATTTTCAAATCAAATACACAAATTAAAAAAAAAAAAAAAACACCACTGCATACAAGGGACATCATACAATTATTGTAATATTTCTTCAAACTACATGCAGCAGTTAAACGTAGAAACTTCACAACAAAAACACAACAATGGCTTTTATTTTCCTAGACATAATGCATGATTTCAATATTTGGAATAGCCATTTTAACTCAATTCAATCTGTTGCATATTTTTGTGTAAAGAACCTTGGGATACACCACCCCAAAAGCTAGCTCAAAGGGTGGGAGTGTCTAAGATCTTATAAACTCCACATTAGTTGCACATACAACCAATGTGGGACTATATATCTCAACACGCCCCCTCACACGAGAGCCCATTGGGCTTGAAGAGTGGACAATGTAAAGAACCACTTCAACCCAATACCTTAAGGTGTTGGGTGAGGGTCTCTAACACACCCCTCACGCAAGAGCCCTTTGGGCTAGAAGCGTGGATATTGCACATGCCCAATTTTTGGTTTACCTTTTGTGCTTCTATTTTAATTCCACTTTAAAGTGGGGGGCGGTGAGGATCGAACTTGTGACCTTGTAGTCACTCAAGCTCTGATACCATGTAAAGAACCTTGGGATACACCACCCCAAAAGCTAGCTCAAAGGGTGGGAGTGTCTAAGATCTTATAAACTCCACATTAGTTGCACATACAACCAATGTGGGACTATATATCTCAACATTTTGTGATCTGACCCTGTGTGCCAGTTAGTGGGCTAAGGTTGCCCATCTTGATCATCGCATTACCAAAATCTAGTCTGAAGAGTAATGGGTTTGTGGCATACTCTAAAACTTTTTGATTCGTGGAACCATCATTGAAGAGTTGTTGGTCAGAGTGAAAAAGACCCTTTTTGTTAACAAAATTCTTGTAGTAAGCACTGGCAAAAAATTCCTTGTTGCAGTGTGTGTTATCTCTTGCTAGCAATAAGGTGTTTAGTTAGTATTAAGGGAATTCTTTTTCTTTTTTTTGTTTTAAGGATAGTTTTGGTATTTTTTTTTAAATTAACTCCGTTAACTTTAACTTGGATGGAAAATCAAATTAGGGGGTATGTGATAAAAAAGTTTTAAGTAGGGGTGTAAATGATTAATTTTTTTGGGGAGGAGGTAAGTGATTATGAAGAAACTTATAGGGGTTTTTTGAAGTTTTCCCATATATTTAATAATTCAAAATGTTTTTCAATTTAAATTCCAAAAAGTGTAAAGATAAGCTATAGGCTTCAAGAGTATTGAAAACGTGTCATAAGCTAGCGAGATACTAAAAATATTTTAATAATTCAAAACGATCTTCCATTGAAAATCGAAAAAGTATTAAAAAGGTACAGGCGTCGTGATTTCTGAAAAGGTGGGTGATAAGTAAATGTTAGTTTAGACAACTAATTGGGATTTTGTATTGTGAAAAACTGAACTCGTTCATTATGTTCAAAATTCAAACCAAGTCTTACTAGGTACTAGAATGTACGCATCACCTTATCAGAACAGAATTTAACAGAATACTATGGCCTAAGATTTATACCTGAATATTCTCCAACTTTTTCAAAGCAACTTTCAGTGGTTCTGTCATCACACTGTATTTTTGGAGAAGCAAACCAGCAGCCTCTTTATCACCTTTGGCTTGTATGGTGAGTATCTCCCTGCTCATGCTTTCAACTGCACCTTCAATCTTGAGGAAGAAAAATATAATTAATATCACCCATCTTAAACTCAAGACAGAGGGACGGAGGTAGAGACAGAGGTTTTGAAGGAATAATACCTTGGAAAAATCAACAGAAACTGTGTCTTCAGAATGCAACACAAAGGCTCCTTTCTCATATAACCAGTTGAACTGCAATGCTTGTCCTTTTCTGTCAATTTGCAGTGGAATTAGAAGCGAAATGAAAATAATAAAAACCAGACGAAAGAAAAATGTATAGCTAGCAGCGCACCCATGGGCTTCCTCTAAACCAAAACGTACTGAGCGGAAGCATCCAGCTAGGAAAGAAACATACATGGACTTTAATAAACCTTCGGAAAGCAAGTCCTGGTAAAATCATAGAGACAAACAATGACATTGGCATCATTTGTAAGCCACAAAACAATGAATTGTCTATAAAATGTATGGAGAAGTCAAACATAAAAGATAACATAGAAACTACACAGTTATTAATTGTTGAAGACACTTCAAAAGCACAGACCAGAATATATCATGTGTGAAACATAGCTATATGCAATGTTAACAAAATGTAGTAATTTTTTATCAAGTTGCTCAAGAGTTGTGTAAGTTGGTGTTGTGAAAAATATAGAGTTTGTCCTCGCAAGTCCAAACTTAGAAGTTTATTATTGTCATGAATCAAGTAACCCAAAAGTTTAAATTGTTATGTCAAGACACATTAATAGTTTTCTATAATATATCTGTTGAAAATAATTATATTGTAATTATTTATTTTTCATTCTAGAATCTGCTTTGGGCTTAGCCCATTAGGTCATTCAGCCTCTATAAATAGAGAACTCTTGTACATTTATAATTTTTCACATAATACAATCCTACTTTTCAAGTCCTGAGGGCTATGCTTCCGCAGCTTCCGCCTTTAGATCGAAATCCTATTTGTTAGCCTCTCGCTGCCACTAGCCGCCATTGGAAAAATTTTCCCAAGACCTTTTGGACCAAGAGGACCACTGTTTGACTCCTTTTTCCAGATCTATCAATCTACGGACGTTTCCAGCAATGGGTCTTTGATCTCGTCATAAAAATCGGATCTTTTTCGCCACTCGCGCCTCCTTTGATCAGATCTAATTTTTTTGTTGCTGTTCGGGACGTTCAGAGGCTTCTACAACATCGTCTGGTTGTGAGTTTGTGTGTTTTTTTGCCTCAAATTGCAGATTTTTTGGCCTTTTCTGGTTCCTCTTTTTGCAAATCTAGTAATTTTGCTTCTGTTTGGACTAAACTTGAAGTTGTTTTGCTGTTTGGGCTCTCTGGAGATTTTTTTTTTGACTTCATCGATAATTACCCACTTCTTTTGGGTTGTTCTCTTTGATCTGTTTTATTTGTCCATAGGACGTTGGTGCACCTATTGTAAGAGTGTTGGACACACAAGAGACATGTGTTTTCGCTTTTATGGGAAGTGTGATAATGTTACTCCATATGTAAATATTCAGCAAAGGGAGTTGGAGCAGCTTAAGGCCGCTATTGATACTTTGCAGCTACTATTGATTACTCCATATGATAATCATATGATTTGTCTTGCTGAGTCTATTCTTTCTTATCATCATGCTGTTGGTAATCATACTATAGCCGTAGCCAATGGATCCCATAAATCAGTTATTGTTTCTGGTAACATTCAAATTTAACCTTCCTTGTTTCTTAAAAATATTCTTTATGTTCCTCAGCTTTCCATTAATCTTATCTCAACTCAAAAGCTTACAACTGATTTGAATTGTTCTATCACCTTTTTCCCTTCTCATTGTGTTATTCAAGATCTTACCACGAGGAAGACAATTGGAGTTGCTGAGGAGCAAAGTGGGTTGTATTATCTTCTTCCAGAACATGCTACAAATGATACCAAATTCATCTATTGATGACACGTCATCCTTCTACGACAGAGTCAATGATTTGACTTGAAAAAGGGTATTCTAATATATTATAGAATTGTAAATAATCTGTACAAAGGGTTCTCTATTTATAGAGAATACTTGACCTAATTTTAACCTAATGGGCTTGGCCCAATACAACAAATAAATGACTAAATAATAACTAAATAATTATTATTTACAACACTCCCCCTCAAGCTGAGGAATAGATATTTATCATTCCCAGCTTGCTAGTAAGTTCTTGAAATCTGTCTGAAGGAAGCCCCTTTGTTAATAGATCAGCTAATTGACGCCCAGTGGGAATGTATGGAGTGATAATCAACCCGCTATCAAGTTTCTCTTTGATGAAATGGCGGTCAACCTCAATATGTTTAGTCCGATCATGTTGAACTGGATTATGAGCTATACAAATAGCGGAATTATTATCACATAGCAGCTTCATAGGTCCTTCACATTTTATTTTGAGATCATCAAGTACAATTTTCAGCCACAGTAACTCACAAATGCCTTGAGCCATAGCTCGAAATTCAGCTTCTGCACTTGATCTGGCAACCACATCTTGTTTCTTACTTCTCCATGTCACCAAGTTACCGTAAAGAAACATGCAATAACCAGTGGTAGAACGACGGTCAGTCACGGATCCAGCATAATCAGCATCTGTGTAGACTTCTAAAGATAGATTGTCATCACGTCGGAATAACAATCCTTTACCAGGAGTACCTTTAAGATACTGAAGAATTCTCTCTACTGCCTGCATGTGTTTTTCTTTTGGATCGTGCATAAACTGACTGACAACACTAACAGCATAAGCTAGGTCTGGTCTAGTATGGGCCAGATATATTAATTTCCCAACTAGCCGTTGATATTGTCCTTTATCAACTGGAAGATTCTCTTCTTCATAGCCCATCTTGTGATTCTGCTCAATAAGAGTATTAGAGGGTTTACACCCGAGCTTTCCTGCTTCTTTGAGAAGATCAAGAACATATTTCCTCTGGCTGATAAAAATTCCTTTGCTTGAATGAGCTACTTCTATCCCTAGGAAATATCTCAGTTTCGCAAGGTCTTTATTTCAAACTCAGAGGCAAGCCGTGTTTGCAGAATCTGTCTCTCCACAAAATAATCACCTGTGATAATAATATCATCAACATATACAAAGAGCACAGTAAGCTTCCCATTTTGGGAGTGCTTGAAGAAAAGAGTGTGATCTCCTTGGCTCTGTTTGTATCCTAAGGTCATCATAACCTTAGTAAATCTTCCAAACCAAGCACGAGGTGACTGCTTCAATCCATACAAGGCCTTTTTTAATCTACAAACTTTATTTTCCCCTTCACAGAATCAAAACCAGGCGGGATTTCCATGTAGACTTCTTCTTCTAACTCACCATTGAGGAAAGCATTTTTCACATCAAATTGATTTATATCCCAATTGTAATGGGCAGCAAGGGATAACAAGATTCTCACTGTATTCATCTTTGCAACTGGAGCAAAGGTTTCTTCATAATCAATGCCATAGGTTTGAGTGTAACCTTTGGCCACTAATCGAGCCTTATATCTCTCAAGAGTGCCATCAGAATTATATTTCAGGGCATAAACCCATCTGCACCCTAATGCTTTCTTTCCGTTGGGTCTATCAATAACCTCCCATGTTTTATTTTTCTCCAAAGCATTCATCTCCTCTTGCATGGCTTGAGCCCAATTCCTATCTTTCAAGGCTTCATGTACTGATTTTGGGATTGCAATAGAATCTAGTGCTGAAACAAAGCTTTTGTGCTGCACAGAAAGATTAGCAGAGGAAACAAAGTGGGAGATAGGGTATTGAGTACAAGAGGGACAGGAGGAACAAGTTTTCTTGTGACAAGATCTTTTTCTTTTTCTAAGAGCAATAGGTAAGTCATCAGAAGTAGAAGCAATGGGTAAGTCATTAGAGATATCAGAAGAAATAGACAAATCATGAGAGGAAATAATATTAGAATCAGAAACAGGAGATTCAGGAGACTCAGAAGAAATAGGAGATTCAAGACTTACCAGTGGTTCAGACGATTGAGGTTGCTGGTGAGACAGTATGGGTTGTATCTCAGGTGTATTTGAAGGTTCTGACACACCAGGAGCAGACACACTAGGAAGAGAGAAGATTGATCCAGACTCAAAGAAGGAAGGGGACGAGTCTTCTGAAGAACTATTCTCCCCCTGACGATGAGGACCCAGGAAATAAGATTCAGATTCTTGAAAGGTGACATCCATAGAAACAAAAAAATTTCGACTTGGTGGATGATAACACTTGTACCCTTTTTTATAAGGGTTATAACCAAGGAAGACATACTTAAGAGCCCTAGGATCCAACTTACTCCGATGTTGTTTATGAACATGGACAAAGGCAACACATCCAAACACTCTTGGTGGAAGGCTCTGCAATATGGGAACAGAAGGAAAGAAGGAAGTCATGGAATGAATAGGACTGATATTGTTAAGGACCTGTGAAGGTAAACGGTTGATCAAAAAAGTTGCAGCTAATACTGCTTCTCCCCAATAAGAACGAGGAACAGATGTCTGGAAAAGTAGTGCTCTAGCAACTTCAAGAAGGTGACGATTTTTCCTTTCAGCAACCCCGTTTTGTTGAGGGGTATCAACACATGTGAGCTCATGAATCATACCTCTGTCTGAAATGAATTGTGACAGTCGTTGATCGACGTACTCAGTACCATTATCAGATCTGAGTCTTTTAATACCCTTATCAAACTGAGTCTCAACCATGTGATGAAACCGAATAAATATCTCTGGTACTTCAGACTTGTCTTTCATCAAGTATATCCATGTTATCCGAGTACAGTCGTCAATAAAAGACACAAACCACCTTGCACCTGAAACACTGTGCACTTTAGAAGGGCCCCAAACATCAGAATGGATAAGAGAAAAAGGTTCCCTGCTTTTAATAGTGCTAGAAGGAAATGACACTCGATGGTGTTTTGCAAATTCACAAACATCACAATGAAAGGTCTCAACCGACTTATTGAGAAACAGAGAGGGGAACATAGACTTCAAAAGACTAAATGGTGGATGCCCCAGACGCTTGTGATGGAGCCAAATCATAGACTCTGCAGTAGAAGGATGACGTGTCATTAATAACTGATTTTTGCTAGCATGGTCTGGAAGGAGATGATACAACCCATCCTGTTCATTAGCAACTCCAATTGTGTTCTTCGTGGTAAGATCCTGAATAAGACAATGAGAAGGAAAAAATGTGATAGAACAATTCAAATCAGTTGTAAGTTTTTGAGAGGAGATAAGATTAGTAGAAAGCTGAGGAACATAAAGAACATTTTTAAGAAACAAGGAAGGTTGAATTTGAATGTTACCAGAACCAATAACTGATTTATGGGATCCATCAGCTACGGATATAGTATGACTACCAACAGTAGGATGATAAGAACAAAACAACTCAGTACGACAAGCCATA